TTTGAATTTAGCCTTTCCGTCCTTATCGAATTACTCGTGACCTCACAATCATGCCTGGAGCGACGCTGTGGATTGAGCGAGGGGTTGAGGTTCATATTTGGCCAAATGTGCGCATTCTTGTGTTAGGAGATCTGATTGCGGATGCGACCTACTGGGAACCGATAAGGTGAGCTTCGGAAATTTTTCTCTCACTCAAATCACCATGCATCCTGAGGATGCTCAAAGTTTTCAGTCCTTTTATGTCCAGATTAATTCAACAGAAGTTTTCTCTTCAGGTTCAAGCCAATCAACACAACAGAATTTGACGAAATGCGGGGGAAAATCGGTACCAGATACAAGCGCAGCACAATTTTCCAACGACGTCGTAAACGTAGCGACGTCGGCCAGAGGATTCAGAGATGGCAACGTCGCCGTAGAGCCAGCCGGTTCGTTCGTTGTACATCTGGACATTTCTCTTAGCAGCTTAGTTAAAGCCTTCACCCCGAGTTAAGCAACGAATTATAATCCTTGAGGGTTCACTTTAAAATCTTTTCCGAGTAACTTATTAGGGTAATAGATTTTTTTGCTATAACCAAATTTTCGTTAGTGCATGAGGCGGAGGTGGTGTAGAAGCAAGTGGCACGTTCACAGCGCACATGATCTGGAAGTTAAGTCCAGGATCGGCTATCGCGCAGGCTGACCAAGCCTTCTGCTTTTTGCGAAAGATAAATTGGTACCAGGCTCGTCTGAGAGGATAAAGACACTGACATGCACAGTGGATGACCCCCGCAAGTCCTTGTCTAGGCCTACTTGGCGCGTGACCGTCCTCTACTATACTCGGAGACGTGCTATTCGATTCCATTAAGAGGGCGGCGATGTGGTTGCTTGAAAAAATCTGGAAAAATTGCATTTGTTTTGAAAAAATGACTCTATCTATTGAAATGTTAAACCAAAATGAACCTTTCATCCAGTATTGGTGTAATGGAGGATAAATGCGTGGCTCCGCCTGAACATTGGAGAATATACGGATATGCAAAGGATCCCGGGAACATTTATTGCGGCCTGCCGCTTTTGTTAATATTTCCTAAGAAACTTCAACCGCTCTAAGGGTGCAGACTATGAACAGACTGCTTTTAAATCTAATGCATACAATTTTCGATTTCCATTAAATGTTCACGATTTAATTAGACCTTGTTCAGATTTCGGAACAATTGCAGATTTTCTCATTCTTGTTTAGAGCTCGTCCTGACGAAGTCTACACTCAGTTTCCTCTGCTTTACCGTGATGACCCATACTATCAGCGCTTTACAGTCTCCCTCAACGAAAATAGTACCATTCGAGGTCGAGCGGGATTCCTACAGGTAATTGTTTTGGCTGTTTTTATTTCCTCATATTCCAGTTACTTCTCTGATTTTGCAGATTTACAACGCCACCACAGGCGAGACCATTGCCTCATGCGACAGACAATTCACCGTTCGAAATGCACAGGTATTCTTCGCACTGTTATCCAGCGCGCTGTTTCGACCTCTCTTCGAGGCTGGTTTTCAGTCTGGTTCGGCGACTTCGGACTTTAATTGGATTTCAGGTTGTTTGCCGTGAGCTGGGACTCGAGACAATGAACGCTTATCACTGGCTCACACCTCGATGGGATTACAACCCCCAGATTCGATTGGTGAAGACGTACGTGGAACCACGAGAATGTAGAGGAACGGAGCCCAGTCTCGACAGGTGCAGTTGATTTTCATGGGTATCTGAAGGGTTTCTATATGTTGCCTCTCCTTTCTGCCCAAATAAAATGGATTTTGGACTCCCTTTCAATTTAATAAGAGGGAGTAAATAGTATTTCCGAGACCACCTTTTCAGTGACCTTCTCACATTAGGCTTAGACGCTGAGGGCCGGCGGAGAAACTAGAGCATATTTCATCTATTCAGTATATGAAAAAGCACTCGGCGGCCGATTGCTTGTGCAACTTTATTTTCGTGGGTGTTAATCCGGGATACAGGTAGTTGAGGAAGAACCACGGAGTGGCGCGGTTATTCTACGTCATCTCTGTTTGCCTCCACCCTCTCACCGAATGAGAAAGTGCCATGTGCACTCACTTGTAGTGCATCGAAAAGGCATTGTAAAACGTGCACCGTTATGTAAGGTCTTGTCTGCTGCGGAAGCTGGGGCGTGTCGCTTACCCACTCCAACAAATGGTGAAGGACCGGGTGGCGCCGCGCCATGTTCAGCCCCCTTTCACCTCCCACCATCCTCAGCGAACAAGACTGTATGTTAGTTGCGACGTCGCGCCTTTCTTCTCAACTTCTTCCCTCCCGAACATTCTAGTATTTGCACGCAGAAGTCCTAAAGAATGTAAAGCGATTCGTTCTGGTTGGGTAGCCTAAATCGGTGCTGTTTCAGTGTGACGTGTTCAGTGGGACCTTATGTATCTTCCAAATTTCAGATGTCAACTTCGGCTCACCGGCAACGACTCTCAGTGGCAATGTATGGACAATGAACACTTCAATTACATTTACTGCGGACCAAACACAACCTTGGATCGGTGAGTCTCATGTACAAATTTATCGTTGATTTCGTGTCATATGTAAACATATTCCAGGATTTATATTGGCAACTGGGGTGGCCTGAAGCTTTGCACGAGCATCACTGGAATTGGATCAACTGCCAGTGAAAGGTTCGCGATTATTGAGCTGTTCGAGAAAATTCGGAGAATATGGAGACATGGGTGGATTACTTGCTTTCAGATGCATCCATACTACGTAATGTTGAAATCGTTGGTGGTGGTTCTGGCCACAATGACAGTTTGCAGTCCGCTGGATTACAGTTATTTTATCGTTCACCGCTGATAGACCACGTGAATGTAACCAACAGTAGTATGCATGCGATACAGGTAAGAACGATTACAGAAATAGTGGTAGATGTGACTGTTCAGCAGTGGTACATCCCATCTCGTTTCCAAAAGGCGCAGTCCATGTTGGTCGTATGGGCGGAGACAGTCAAACTGTGTGCCGTCCTCATTGGTGCACCCCCCCCCCTTCCAAGGTGCTAAATGCAAGAGACGCTAAAGGAGGGCACATTACTGTTATACTATTTCCGTCCATACGACCAGCGTCGATTCAACATCATAGGGTGGGAAATGGCTAATAAGATTCACACCAGCAGGGAAAATCTATCCAAATGAGATCTGTGAACAGTCCGCCGCAAAGAAAAAAAATTGGCGCTATTTGACTCAGAAGGGGCATTCTGGACTTTCTATAATTCTCTTTTTGGTAAATTCGTAGTAACAGGCCTGATTCTGACACCTGTGAAGTTTCGAAATGGTATAAGTAAACCACGTTGGCCCAAAAATTTCACAAGGTGACTTGACAGTTTCAGCAGTTTCAGCTGAGTACCTTTTAGTGCCCCCCCCCAGCAAGCCGAACTGCGCAAAAATCTTCTTACAAGTATGGAGTAGAATGGTTCCTGTTGTTCAGGTGTTGTCTCCTCGTGAAAAGGTGATTCTCAACATGGTGAATGTCACAAATAACGGTGGTGTGGGGATCAACATCATGACAGCCAGTGTGCAAGGCCCTACCACTAATGCAGGTTGGTACGGTTGAAAGGGCAGCTCTTGCTCTCCCTATTTTTACTCCATACCCAATTCATGGGTGAATAACGAACCCACTCTACTTGTTCCACTTATAGAGACTCCTTTTCAACCGCTTCACATACCGTACTACTCGCAAGGAATGGTTGACATATGTGCAGCTGAGAAAATGATGCAAATCAGCAATAGGGTCCTGGTATGTGATCTCTTTTTCTTATTCATGTGAAGTGAACGAGCTAGAAGCCGTTTCAGGTCTACTACAAGTATGACTCGATTCCCGTGGATTGTGTGAAGATTTTCTCCTCGGCAGGAAGGAAAGTCGCGTTCCGATTCCTTCCAGGTACATCTTTCATATACTTCATGCGCGCAGAACTTCCTTGAAGGTTTCTTTCAGGTGAATCTCTATTCCGCACTGCAGAACTGGGTCGAATCAGAATGCCTGTGAGAATTATCACGCAATTCAATAGCTTTAGGGCCAATTACACTCTTGGCGCTGAGTACGGTGAGCATATTTTACCTCATCATTTTGGCATCCTCATTCATCTTGCTTGGTCCTTGAAATGATTCGAGTTTAGAGTAGCGCTTGTTCGCCGTTGACGGGGGCTATGGGGGCTTTTGCTTGTGCTTCTTCATCGACGTGTCGGCGCATCTAAGGGAGGCCTTCATCGTGAGTTGAATGCTCTTCGCCATTGTGGCCCATGCTTGCCTTCAGCCTCCACAGCGAGCTTGCAGGTTTCATCAGTAAAGTAAGGCAAGACAGGATTAGTGGAGCAGGGAATCGTGCAAAACGCCCCCTCCCCCTAATCGTGAAACTGCGCCACGCTAGGCACTCCCAGTTTCGCTGTTTTCAAAAAATATAGACTGGCCTCAGAACGCTGTGCGGCACGACACCTATTTTTTTGTCCAGCGCAAGACCACTGCCCCTATCACGCGAAAAAGCCGTTTCGAAGGCATGGCTCCCTCCCCGGTCAGCAGCGGCAACCAGTGTAACCCCACGCCGCATTTTAAATCCAAATCATGACATCATTCCTCGGTTGTCAGCCTCAATCAAAATGGCATCCGAACTTTTCTCGGTCTTAATCTTTGGTTCCAGAATCGATCGCGACTCAACGCCGTTTTCAAAAGCAGTAAGTGCCGATGTGTTGGCCCTACACTTTCGTGGAACAGCAGCCGATGGCGAATATGGTTTCATCGCGGAGATCTCAAGCATTCCTAGCTCTCCCGATTCAGGTAAGGGATTCAAAGGATCATATTGAGTTTGCTTTAAGTTGTTTCCTAAAAAAGCCCACAGAAGCTTCTTGCGCTACATACTCCTTCTTCAGGTACCGTGGATCAAGTGATAGTCCGAGGATCAAGGGTAGACAATAACGATCGAGGAGCTATTATTTATCAGAATGCCGGTGAGATGAGTCCTGCCGTAATAATCGGTGAGTAGTGAAGCTTTAGGATCTGCATTTAATAAGGAGAAATTCGAAAATAAATTTCATAGCTCCTCATAAGAAAAAGATGATTATGTGCATTTCATCTACTTGAATATTCAAATATAGTACCAGACATGTGAAAGACGCTGCACCTACAGGTTCTATATGCACCCAGGAGAACCCTATGATTTTATCCTTTACTCCTTCATTCAGGACCGATCCATACTTTCCTTATTTTCAAATTAAGCGTTTCATTTTTCATTTAGCTGTTTCCCATATTTTCGTGTCGTTTACTGCTGGCCCTTTCCATAAGAAAGTTGCTCGGATTAGGAAAAAAAAGAAAAAATTACATGTTTTCTTTTGTGTACATCTGTTCAACTATTAGACGACCCGTGTTTCAGAAGATTGCTCGCTAAGTCGCAATGGTATCCACCTGTTCGGCAACATATCCACGTCGATGCACGCTGTTGAACTTCATCTTCACAATACCATGGTCAGTACCGTAAACACCGTCACTATGGTACTGAAAAAAAACTTGAACTTACACGAGGAGCGCGCAGTTACAGTCGAAGGTGTTGTACTGGAAACAGTGACTTTTCTGACTGCGGTGGTATTGCCAGCCATTGCCGATACCACTTCATGGCATTGCAGAACAACTTGGAGCAGAAAGAGGCTGGTAGATAGGACAC